TTTTAATTTTTTAAGTATTATTGTTTTGTGTTTATATATTTTACCAGTAGCTAGATGACGCAAGGTGACGGAGAGTCTCTCAGAAAGAGGTATACTTTCTCTTAAATGCGTTGTTTTCTTTTGAATAAGAGGTGTAACTTTTTCAACAAGATATTGAAAGACATCACTGTTCATACGCAGACATCTGCAAATATTATTCAAATTGTTACTACTTTTATTCATTAAAAACAGTCCTTATTTATTGTTTACAGTTTTTTAATGTATTTAATATATTAATTGATTGATAAAAAGTGTACAGTACCTACAAAATCGATTTGGATCTTCAAACGCAAGTTCCAGAAATAGGTTATGATGCATACTTTTACATTTTCTTCGTAATAAGTATGGCTTGGTCCACACAGAACGTTTTACTTTACGTTTTTCTTGATCAACTGCTAGACACAATATTAGACACGCAGATAAAAATCTACGTTTTCGCTCTTTTAAAATTATTTCTCTTATATTTGACATAATGACTGGCATTACCGGCTTGGTTAATCAACAATAACCACACTGGTATTGCCAACCTATAGTGTGATTGATCAATCTGAAACTGTTAATTGTAACCTCAATCGCAATCGAGCTCGCAACCTATAGTGTGATTACGCCTTTAGAGAGATAACTGGGTTGGGTGTTAGGTAGGGTGTAGGTTGTACACGAGAAAAGAGATCGAATAGTTTTAACAAACACTTTACTGAATCTATATTGTTACAAACACTTATTAATTACAGTATTCAGAGAGATGTTACTTCGACTAAGACCGGAGTAGAACTATTCGAAAAATTCGGAGACTCTTTCTCCGCTACTTCTACGCTCTCCTATTACAACTGCTGGGTGTCTTCCTTTTGTACCCGGATTTTTGGGTTTTTGGAAAGGATTTTGTGGGGAACGAATTAAGATTTTGGATCCTTGAGGAAATCTTAGGATGGAGGAAAGTAATAAAGGTAGATTTCCAATAGGAAATCGAACTTAAGGATTAATGTCGGCGGGAATAAGGCGAGGTGCCTGGTGGTGTTTAGTGTAGACGCTATAAAATTTTGTAGTACACGTGCGTCGAAAGTAGCCTATTACGCGCATGCTTTACGTGCGGAAAGTAGCCAATTTCACACGCAACATATTACCGCACGCTTCAAATTTATTACCGCACGCTTCCGGTTTATTACCGCACGCTTCCGCTTTATTACCGCACGCTTCACTTATTATTTCATTACAAAGCAACGCCATCTCGCAGCGCGATAGAAAATAAATAGCCATTACTTCTTCCTTGTCTCAAAGTCTAATCTCAATCGCGCCCAACACGCAGTGACACATGTAAGAAACTGGTAAGGTAAAAAGCGCTCAGTCGATATAGGTAGAGAGAGGTAGGCGCGAATATGTTTATAAGAAGGCTTATGAGGGCTCTCACCGAAAAGCGAAATTGCTGGCATGGCCTAATTGGTCAAAAAATCCGGAGAGACGAGAAAAGGAGAATGATAAAAGAAAATCGCGAAGAGT